TCCCCTGAGTCGTTTCTCCCAATACTGACCACTGGCCAGCGGGCACGCTGGGGCTGGCACCCCTGCCGCCTGGACCCTGCAAGCCCGAGACAGGCAAGGGGGGGCTGTTCAAACTGGGTGCAGGGTGGTCCCCACGCACTGAAGTCACTCATCCGTTCCTTCCACAGCTATTTACTGCACCTCCCACATGCTGGGCACGGCTCACCCACACTGGCCGGCCTTGGCTGGGGAGGGGAGGGCCAACAGCTTTCACAGGGAGTGGCCCTGGGGGCACAGGCACGCAGGCCTGTGGCGAGGGGGAAGCTGCAAGCCCTCCCCACAGAGAAGGCCTGTTTAGGAAGCCCTCTGGGTTCAGGGACAGGAGCACTGGGCCCCCACACCCAGCTGCAGCCCCGCCCCCACCCCCGCCTCCACCAGGAAGGCCTCGGGCCAGCTTCCCTGTTCACTTTCCCTCTCCACCTGGGGGCCCCTCGTGGCCGGCCTGGGAAGGCCCTCCTGCAGATCCAGTGTGATGATGCCGGTGGGCGCTGTCGGGGCTCACTTGCGCCTGGACCCCGCCCCCCATGTTTATGCCTGGCACCCAGGGCAGCACCGCACTTGTTGGCCTGGGCCCCGCCCCCACCCCAGCAGGGCAGGCCCAGAGCCCAGGCATGAGTGCCCCTGGGCCCTGGGACCCCAGCAGCGGCAGCTTGCCCGGGGAGGCGGCGGGTCTGGGGTGAGGGTTCCCCACGGGCTCCAAGACGCCCGTGGCGTGGAGCCCAAGCCTGCAGTGGGCCGGCCAGACAATGCCTTGCCTTCCTGTCTCTGCCCGAGACCCCCCTGCCCCACCTGAGTTTGCTCTCCAGCTCATCTCAGGTCTGCTTCTGGGGACCCAAAGTCCGCCTCCTCAGTGCCCAGCACACAGCAGCGGGAGTACCCTGGATCCCAGGAGTGACAGGCCCCGCGGGGCAGCCGCAGACGCCGAGACATCTGTCTGCGTGTGGCCCATGCCAGGCCGGTGCGAGTGGAAGCTGAACCCGACATGTCCCCCCCAAGGGCACGCTGTCTCCGGAAGCTGCAGGGGGAGGGGAACCTGGCCTGGGTGTCGCAGGGCCCGGGGCCCCGGCATGGCTCTGCAGCTCCTTAGCTGGGGGGGCCTTTCGGTCTCTGCAGCCGGGGGTGGGGGGTGGGGGGCTTCCTCCAGGCTGGCCCGGAGGGTCAAACAGCGTGATGGTCTCTTAGGTACAAAGTCTGGGCGGCGGCGTCCCCGACGTCAGGAGCCCAGAAGGCTCTGGGGGTGATGCGTCTCGGCTGGCACGGTGCCCGCCGAGGAGGGCCCACCGTCTGTCCTGGAGAGGGCCACCTGCTCCAGGAGGGTCAGGAGAGGCCATCCAGTGGACGCGCAAAGGAGCACCACGGAGGGGGAGTGAGAGGGGCATCTGCAGACGCGGGGGGCTGGGAGGGGCCGCCGCCGGAGGGGCAGCTCCCTGGAGAAACCACACATCTGCGCAGGTGCGGGAGCTCCCCGCAGACGCCGCCCAGGTGAGGGGGACGCGGCACACAGTCCACCAACAATGACAGCCCGCTCGATGCCCGTTGTCGTGAGCTCCCGGGACGGCCGGCTCTCCGGCTGCCCGCACCACCGCCCCGTGTCCTCGGCGAGGCGCCCGTTCTGACGCGAGCCGCCTGAGGTTTCCGTTCGTGTTAACGATTCCGAGGAGAGGGGACAGCAGCGGGGACCGTGTGGGCGCTCCTCCACCAGTGACGCGCGTGAATTCTTCGTGGAGTGCGAGGATGTGCTCAGGTTCGGGAGGAACGCCCCCTCGCAGCGCGGTGCGCGGCGCGGACACACCGCTCTGCCGGCCGCTGTTTCCTGCACCGCCTTCCCAGGCCCGGACACTTAGCGGGACCGGCAGTCAAGCCCTGACGTCGGCGGACTCCTGTGGTGTGGACCCCCCCGGCCTCCCTGGGCCGCCGCCGGGACGAGGCGCGCACTGCGGAGGAGGCGGCCCGTCGCTCTGTCGCAGTGCGCGCGCCACCTAGACCCGAGGCGGAGAACTGCTGGAGAACGGCACACGGGGGTAAAATCAGCCGAAGTGCAGGTGCCGAACGCGGCCGTTCTCTCCATGTAAATCCACGTCAGTGTAAGTTGACGTGATTGAACTTGCGTGAGTGTCCCTAACCAAAGCTCCCCCAACTTCCTACCAACCGAACTGGCTTCCGCAAGCAGGTCGCTACCGCCACCCGCGCGGGCGGAGCAGGCGGAGGGGCAGCGAGTGCGCGGCGACGCGGGCCAAGGGAGGAAAAGACGCGACAGGGAGAGGGGCGAGTGGGAACGCGAGGCAGGGGGAAAGGGAGGGCCGGGGCGCGGCCAGCGCTGGGGCTGCGCGGCGGGGCAGACACGTCCTCCCGGGGCCTCCTCCCGGCCCCAGCAGCTCGGTGGCCGGTGCGGGGAGGCTGAGCTGCGCGCCGGAACGCTCTCACCCGTAGGTGGCGCCCGCGAGCGGCAAACAGCGGGCGCACTGAGGCCGCCCGGGCCCCGAGCGCGGACGACAGGGAAAGCTGCGCAGGCGACAGCTGGTTCGGACTGCCAGGAGGTCAGGGATGTATTCTTTTCCTGGTTAAGTGTTAAAAATGCAAGGAACAGCAAGACGCGGACATTTCAGGTCTCTTGGAGTTGTGTGCCGACATCACCCGGAGCCCAGGTCACCATTTAAAGTACAATGAAATTAAATAACATCTAAAATACAGTTCCTCCGGCGCAATAGGCACCTTTCCAGCCCTGAACAGCCGGGTGGGACGCGTGGCGAGTGGCAGCTCCCCACTCCGGTGACCCGTGGTCCTGAGCAAAGTCTGCAAAGCAGGGCGTGGATCACGGACACGTCGCCCGCTTCCCACCGCCCAGGTCCACACAGGCCCGCGCCATTGTTTGGGTTGTCTGAATATTTCAGAGGAAATTGTTCTTTTGCTTAAAAAAACAAACATGTCTCCTAAGCTCCACGTCTGTACGTGGCCCTGTCGGGGTGACCAGAACTGGGGGGGGGGTGGCCGCAATGACCGGGCCAGGACTTCCCGTTCCCGCTGCGGGTGCTGTGTGCTGCCCCGCCTGGCCGGACACCCTGCACATGCCTCCCACAGGCCTGCCACGGGGGGGACCTTCCCAGCGCAGGAAGGCCCCTGACCCTATGGGGCGGTGCCTTCCATTTCTTGTCCACAAAGTGTCCCGCAGAACGGGGGTGGGGGGAGCTACCCTTGGGGCACGTTTGAAGTCTGCGCCCAGCGGAGCCCTGGTTCCCCCACCTGTAACGCGGAGGCGGCGCGGGACGGACGAGCAGCGCTCGGCACCGCACGCCGTGCGCGCTCCCTCTCCGTCCCCCGCGGCTGCGCACACGCCCGCCCCCCTGCGGCCGCGGCCCTGGGGGTGGTCTGAGGAAGCCTGCGGCGTTTCGGGAACGCCCGGCCAGCTGCCCCACGGCGAGTCTAGGTTCCCAGATGCAGGCGCGTCTGGAAGCAGCCAGCCCGTCGGGTTTCCCTTCGCCCTTGGAAAGGTCTCGGTCACGTGGGCCGGCATCCTCTTTGTGCCGTCCTAACCAATAAAACAAAGTAAACAAGTCATTCCACCAGCAAAACCGGTTTCTTCGGGAATAGCAGAGAGTCGTGAGTCCGGACCAGCATGCGACAAACCGGGGGAACTTCACAGGGGCAATGGGGGACGCCCGGGCGGCTCTGAGCGACAGTCCCGGGCGGGCCGTTTCGCATTTGCCCGGCGCCGCCCTGGCAGTCGGGGTCTGAGGCTGAGACGGCCTTCCTGTGAGCGGGCTCCCCATTCAGCTCTGGAGCCACCGTCACTTTCACGCCTGTTTTGGAAGCTCCTCCACCCCCTGCTTACTGCGGCTGGCCCTGCGCCCCGGCCCCGGCCTCAGGTCCAAGCCCGGCCCCCCACCCCAGAGTGGCCCAGCCCCGCGGCGGCGCCAGGTCCCGCCGCTAGGGGCGCCAGAGGCGCAGGGTTGGCCGTGGGCTGTGTCCCGGGCGCCGGCGGTTTACTAGGCTCAGTTTGTGACCCACCGGCAGCTCCCCGCTCCAGCCGCAGCTGCTGCTTCATCCGGCGGCTGCACTGGCTGCCGTTTTCAGCGTGGAGACCACGTCCTTCCTCTCCCTCGGAGACCCCGGCCCGAGACACCCCTCCGCAGGGCCCGTTCCGCCCCAGGGGACACCGGGCCTGGCACAAGGGCAGGAAGGCCGGGCTGCCTGCTGCTGGCTCCAGCCCGAGGGGGCAGCCCCAGGGCCAAGAGTTGCCTGCCGGCCGCAGGTCCTCGAGGCCCAGACCCGGGGCCCAGAGGTTGCTGGAGAGAGGGGCCGCCCACACCCGAGTCCCGGGAGGGTCCCGGGCCCCCGGACTGGGAACCCGCTGCTGTGCCCTGGCCCAGTTCAGGGGCAGGACACAGGCCCACCCGGCGTCTGGGAGTGCGCACAGACCGCCGCTGGGGGCTGAAGTCCAGGCTCACTGCACAGAAGCCCCTCTCCTGGGGCTCCTGGATCTGGCAGGGGGCGCGGGACAAGGGCAGCCCAGGGCCTGCCTCATCGGAACAGGCTGACGTCCCCGTCCCCGGTGGAGGGGTCCTCGCCACCCAGTCAGGCTGCCTCCTCCACTGACCCTGTGTCCCCCAAAGGCCCGGAGCCCGCAAACGCTCCTCTTCGGGAGGGGGACTCGGCGCCCCCTCCCCTTTCCTACAGCCCTGGAGCGGGAGAGGAGAGCACGGCTGACAGCCACAGGCAGTCACAAGGCCCGGTGTCAGAGAGACACCAAGACACGACCTTGCTGTGAGCAGGGGTGGGCGGGCTCTGGGAGCCAGCTGCTGCCACAGCCCCAGGTCTGTGCCGCCTGCAGTGCCAGGGCCCTCGGAAGTCAGACCACAAGTCCGCCAAGGGAAAACAAGTTTAATGCGACAGCCTCCCCCCAGCCCCTGGCACTCGGCTCCATCTGGGCAGCGCCAGAGGCCCCGGCCCGGCCCCCGCACAGCTCAGCACAGCCCGAGGCCCAGGGACCCGGAGCTGAGCGCCAGCAGCAGCGCCAGCAGCAACGACAGCCCAGCACCGCCGCCCCGCCCCCCGGGGGCCCGGCCGGCCTCTCTGAACTCTCTGAACTCCGTGACGTTGGGGGTGTAGCTGTTGCACAGGGGAAACCGGCAGCAGCGCACGTAGATGAAGGGCGTGGGCTTCTCCAGGACGAAGGACCTGGCCTCCGCTGCCGACGACGGGGCGTGGACGGGGCAGTACTTGGAGCACTGCTTCGACACGTAGAAGAAACGCGGGAACAGCCCTGGCAGGACACAGACACAGACACGGACATGGACACGGACACGGACGGGGAGAGAGGACCACGTACAGTGCAGGCAGGGCCCCCGGTGCCGCTCCTGCCTGTCTCTGCCCCACCCGGGCCCTCCCGGTGGGTGCCCTCCTCCCCCGCCCGCCAGGCACGCCACAGAGGGCGCCCGCGGGGAGGCTGGAGCCCCCACCAGGCAGGAAGAGACACGGACGTCTTGCTCTCAGCTGCTCCTGGGGGCCCTGGCACACGCCAAGTGTGGCACCGGACGCCCCCGGCGGGGCCTGCCCGCGTACGTGGGGAACCTGGTCCAGGGGTTCCGTGCGGGGGCGCACAGGCAGCTTGAACCCCGGCTCTCAAACACAGGGTGGTCGGGCCCCGGTGACCCCGGGCACACACAGGGAGCCGGGACTCTGGCCACCCTGCCGCTGCGCAGGGCGCCCATGGGAGCCCCGGGGCCCAGAGCCTGCGTGGGCACGGCTCAGCGCTGGCCTGCCTGGCCGTCTGTGACGGCGGCTCATCCGTTTCGCTGTGCAAGTCACCTCCGCAGGTGACCTTATGAATTCCACAGGAGCCTCTGGTGGTGCTCGGCCTGGGCGCGGCCCCCACGCGTTTCCAGGGACACGGAGCCTCCCCTGTCCTGCCCCGAGCAGCTCAAGAACCGAACCCCAGTCTTCCAACCCCCCGCAAGGCCTGGGTGGGAGACTGGAGGGGCGATGCTGGGCCTCCCGGGCTGCACTGTGCACCCTGGGCCCGACCGGGACCGTCTCCCGGAAGAGCTGTTCTCGGTGGGGGGGCCACGGGCTGACACGCGCTGTTCAAAGGCGGATGAACAGACCCTCCCCTCTTTGCTTCCTCCCGCGTGACCTCCTGATGACCGGTGACGTGTGCCCCGAGGACGTCCCTGTCCTGCACAGGCTGGCTCCCCTCCCTGGCTGGCTCCTCAGGACCCGCTTCCTCAAACTCAAACGAAGGGTCCCTCCCACGTCACTCACGGGTCCCCGAGGGGCGCAAGGCAGACCCTCACTCCCGAGGGTGCTCCGCGGGCTTGCCTGTGCGGCCCAGGGGCGGCCGAGACACTTACTCACGGCTGCGGTAGAACAAAACTCCGTGTTCTGGGGACAGTCCCTGGGGTTCACACAGCCGAAGTCGTTTTCCCTCTCACAGACGTGACAGTTCAGCGGCCCTGAAAGGAGGGTAAAAAGGAAAGTGGGAAGAGGCCTTCTCCAGACGGCCTCAGGGAAAGCCCCACACGCGCCCTCCCTCCCGCCGTGGGCCCGTCTTCCATGCCCCTCGGCCTGCCCCCCGAGCTCGTGGCCTCCGTCCTGCACTCCCTCACACGCCCGCACCCAGACGTGCCCCGGGGACACCCCGCACGGCGCCAGCTCTCGTGGGCCAGCACGTGCGCACCCCGGGCTCCCACTCCACGGCTCCAGCAGCAGGGAACTCGGGGCGCTGGCGTCCGCCCCCACGTGCCCGTCCCGCCCACCGTCCTGGCCCCGGGACCTTCTCCCGCTCCGGTCCCCCAGGCCCTGCATCCCGGCTCCGGCACCATCGCCTCCCGGGGGGCTCCGTGCTGGGGCGGGACTCACGCTGTCTCCCAGCCACGGCGACGTTCGTCTGCACCTGAGGCAGGCCCACAGCCAGGAGAAGAGCGAGGAAGACCCACATTTCCAGCAGTGCCCGGCCCTGCACACGAGGGACACGGCCACGCGGTCACCTCGGGTAGCTGCGTGTCCCCCACAGGCCAAGCCCACTGCCACCGGGGCCAGCACCCTGCCTGCTCCTCACCCTTGGGTCCGAGCCCGGTGTGCCCTGCTGGTGGTGAGTGACTTGTCACCACTACCAAGGTCCCTCCATCCCCAAGGACCCCTCACGCTGTGCATTCACCCCCACTTTCCCAAGCACCCCTTCTCGGCAGGGGACCCGGCTACCCCTCCCTGAAGGCGGCCCCTGGCTCCCCACCCCCGCCCTGAGGTCCTGCTCTCTCAGAACCCCCAAGGGGCCCTTTCACCCCACAGCCCATACCTCCCCCTCCACCTTCGCTCCCTCTGCACCTACCACCCAGGGCATCCCCACGGGGCACCCTGCCCGGGTGCACAGGCTGGCCCTGATGCCCTGCAGCCAGCCCCCGGCCTAGGCGGCCCGCTGCCCCACAGCCGCAACACTGCCCCCTGCTGGGGGGGTGGTCCCTAGGCTCCCTCTGGAACGTCCCCCGTTCTGACATTCCGCCCCTCCAGGCAGGCGCTGCTGCCCCACCCAGCGTGTCCCGAGATTCCAGCGCTGAGGCTCTCCTAGGTCCCTGGTGCAGGACAGCCAGTCCCCAGCCCCTGGGCCACCCCCCCCCCCCCATCTCCCGGTCCTCCTCTCAGGAGCCTGTCTCCTCGTGCATCCCGTCCTCCCGCCACGGGGTACGGGGGGGTGGGGGTGCCATGCAGGTGGGGGACCAGGATGGGGGGAGGGGTGGTGCGGGTGCGGCCCGAGACCGTGGGGGGGTGGAGGGGGGAACCGCACATCGTGGGGGGACGGTGCTGGTGGTGGGGCTCAGGACGGGGGGGGGGGGTTGCGGGTGGAGGGGTTGCCACTCTGGTGCGGGGCCCTGAGGGGGGAGGGGAAGGGGGCGGGGCCTGCTCAGCTGCCACGTTAGCGGGTCCGGGACCCTATGGGGGCGCCGCGCCGGCCCATCCCGCCGGGGTCCGAGGGCCTCCGCCCAGGTCCCCCACCACTGACCAGAGGCTGCCGTCCAAGCCCGCGGGGCTGTCTGCCCTGCCACGCGCCCACACCTTCTGGAACCTTCGCTGCTGGCGGTTTGGGAGCCGGGCCCCGGGCAATGAGCGCGGGGACTTCTGGGATCGGAGGGCCCCCGGGGCCCGGGAGCCGCTCCCGGCATGCTTCGCGCAGCTTCGGGAACATTCGTTGGGACGTTCTCTCTGAGGGCTCGCCCGGGGCGGGACGTTCTAGAGGTCTGGGGGCCGCAGCCGGGGCGGGGGGGCAGGGGGCTGGCGGATTCTGGGTGGAGGGAAGGTTCCAGGTGGTCGGGGAGCTTGAGGGGGAGGTGGAAGATTCCAGAAGGTGTGGGTACATCGCGGGGCACGCGGCCCACGGGCCGGGACCGTGCCTGGGGTCAGTTGTGCGGGCCCTGGGCGGCGGCCCTCGGACCGGGGCCCGGGTGGGGCGGGCCTAGCGCCCTAAAAGGGTCGGGGCCCCCTGGCTCCCCAGCAGAGCAGGCCAGGCCCCGCCTCCGGCCCCTCCCCCGCCCCGCCCCCACCCCTCCCCCTGCCCCCACCCCTCCCCCCTGCCCCTCCCCCCGCCCCCGCCCCTGCCTGGGCCCCCGCGGCACCCACGCGGCCTCAGTGCTGCAGGACGCTGCCCGGGGAGCCCCGCCCTGGCTGACCTGCACCCGGGTCTCCTCCGCGGCAGGCTCAGGCTCCCGGCCAACATGCTGCTGCTCGGGGCGCTGCTGCTGGCCACGGTGCTGACGCTGGCCGACCCTAACACGTCTGCCACCGCTGGGGACTCGAAGTTGTTTGTGCGGAGGTGTAAGTGTCCTTCCTGTCCCTGTCTGGAGGGCCGGGAACTCGCCCAGCCTCCTAGTTCCCGGCGTGGGGAGGGCTGGAGTGCAGTTGTCTTCGTCCTGGCGGCTGAGCGCCCTCGCGTCCCAGCCGGCGGTGGGCACCGGGGTGGGGGGGTACAGTGTCCTTAGCCAGGAGATCTTCGGGGAGGCCTGCCCCTCTCCCCAAAGCACCTGACCCGGAGGCCTGCCAGGCGTCCCAGCTGCACGCAGGCAGGAGCGGCTGAGTCCAGGCGGGTGCCAGAGGGTGCCCTGGACAGGCCAGCGGAAACCCCCGAGCCCAGGGCCCCCGCCCCGGCCGCCGCGGGCGCGCCCTGCCGCCTGCCTCTGGGAACAGGCGCAGCTCCTGCTGTGCTTGGCCTTGGCACAGGCTAGTCCTGCCCGGACTCAGAGCCCACTGAGGACTGCTGCTTGTGGGCCCCGGGCCATCCTCAGAGGTGGGGGAAGGTGGGGGAGGCGAGAAGGGGGGCCCAGGGGAGGGCTGTTGGGAGGGCGGGCAGAGCCTGGGTGCTCGGAGCTCAGCCAGGGTCTCGCTCCTCTCAGGGACCTACAACGTGAAGTGCTTCGACTGTGCAGTCATAAACACCTTCCAGTGTTCGACAACCAGGGTCTGCCCCTACGAGACGAGGCGCTGCATGACGCTCGCCATCCGTAAGTGCCTGCCCGTCTGTCTGCTGGCCGGCGCGCAGTCACCTCCAGAGCACCGGCAGGAGCGGGGGGGGGGCAGAGGCGGACCGCTTTTTCTCTGGGTGTGCCCCGCCCCTGGCCTGCTCTGTGCCCCCTCAGGAGCGTGTGGCCGGGTTCCGGACTCCACCCAGGACAGAGCAGGGCGAGCCCGGCTGCGGAGCCTGCGCTCTGCTCGGCGTGCTGGCGTCAGACGCAGCTCCCCACTCTCCCAGGGCCGGGAGTGCGGCTGAACCGCAAGGCCCTCCTCCCAGGTGGTTCCCGGGCCTGCGTGCAGACGCCACAGTGCGGCCGGGTGGCTCCTCAGGGCCCCTGGAGTGTGGCCCCTGGAGGGACTTCCAGCTGAGCTGGGCCCAGAAGTGGGCATGGGAGGCACTCCCGGACGCAGCGCCCCCACTCTGGTAGGCCACATGTGGTGTCAGGGCCCGGCCCCACCTTGCAAGATGCTTTGGCGCTTCCTTGGAGGCGCTTGTGCTCTGAGAAAGCCGCCCCTCCCCCAGAGCCCCCGCGGGGGGCCTGCACAGCCGGAGGCCGGGTCTCCTGAACCGGGCAGGGAGCCTGGCCTGGGCCCTCTCGGGCCCCCTGTGAGCCCGACGTCCCCGGGGTCTGTGAGCTCCTGTTCCTCCGTGTCTGCGTCCATGTCAGACCCTCAGAGCAGCCCTTCCCTGTCTCCTCTCTGCACCGACCGTCGCCCTGGGGGCGCCTGCCGACCTGGGACAGGCAGGCGCCGAGGGCCTGGGCTGTGTCCCCACAGGGGCACCTGTTCCTGCGCAGCCTTGGCCTGTCACCGCCCAGTGTGGGGCCGGACCAGTCCTGGGCCGTCCCGGGCAGGTGTGGGGGCCCACGGCGAGGGCGAGGGCACGGCTCCGGCGGGGGCGCACAGGCAAGGGGCTAAGGTTGGGCTTTTCCCAGGGCTGGGCGTGGTGGGGCCCGAGGGTTCCAGGACCCGTCCCGTACGGGCAGATCGCAGCTCTAGCCCTGGGATTGAGAGGGAGCACCGGGGCCCCTGCCGGTCAGCTGTGGAAACCCTGCGCTCCAGAGCAAAGGGCCCGGCAGGGGCCTGTGTGTCGGTGCTGGTGGCGGCACCGTGCCTTCTGGAGGTGGCCCCTTCACAGTGGCAGCTCTCTGAAGGGGACCCTTGGCCCTCAAAGCTCTCGGAAGGTCAGCCGGCCGCGCCGCGCCGCGTGTCGTCGAGTGCAGGGACTGCGGCACCTGAAGAGGGCCGGGAATGCCGTCCTCAGAGGCTCAGCCCCGCCGGGCTCTGGGTTCGAGTGGCCCAGACACAGTTTGTGTGAGCACGGCCAGGCACAGGCGAGGCAGAGACCATGCCTCGAGAAGGTCCTGGTGGTTCAGCACAGTGGTGGTGTCTTCTGCAACGGTGGACACCAGGGGCGGGGGAGCCCAGGCTGTCCTCACTCTCACCCTTTTGAGCCTGTCCCCCACCCCGACGGCCGGCCTGTGCCCCTGAGAGCAGGTCACAGCCCAGCAGCTGCACAGGCACCGGCGCTCTGGGGCGCAGGCGAGCCAGAGCTGCAGGGCGTGATCCGGCCTGGCAGCAGCGGACCACAGAGCTGCGTGGCTCTGGTGTTTTCCTGCTCAGTGGGACCCTTCTTCACCCTGCCCCCGCTCCCCCCTGTGCGCCTGGCTCTGGGCTGGCCCTGGGGTCCCCCGCCTCCCCGGAACTTCTTTCTCAGCCCCTCCCACCGTGGTGGAAGCCGGACCCCCGGGTTCAATGCTGTGCTCCGCTGAGCTTTCATGTCGCCGCCTTCCCGAGGGGTCCCGGTGGACACCGGGCGGAGGGATTTGTGGGAGAGCTCCGCGAGACCCGGGAGAGCCGGGACGCTGGGCTCCTCCCCTTCGGGGTCTTGGCGGATTCCCGTGGCTGTGCAGGTTGGTCAGCACGAGACTCTACGGGAAACTTGTTGAGTGTCGGAGGCGAGCATGTGAAACCAGTGGGGCCCTGGCCGGTGGGCAAACACATGGCCTGCGGGCCAGATCCAGGCCCGGAAACAGCCCTGCACGGGTACGCCCACGTGACCTTTAACGAAGGTTCGAAACCAGTGGAGAAGGAAGAGCTTCGTCGCCCCCCGCAGGCAAAGTGGGCCTGACCCGCCCCCTGGCCTCACACTGGACCCACTCAGCGGGCCGCGGGCCTCCGTGGGCAGGGCCGGAGCCTGAGCTGACGCGGGAAGGGAGCGCCGGGGAGGGCGTCCTTGGCAGCTGAGCCGCGGCGGAGCTCTCTGACTTGCTGTCTCGCACGGCCAGTGGGAAGAGGGTGGGTGACCGGAGAGCCCCACCAGTCCGCGAGGCCCTTCCGTTTCAGAGACCTTGTGCGGAGGGCTCCGCCCCGGGAGGAAGTCCAGGCAAACCGCACAGCCTCGAAGGACGCGGAGACCGCGCCCGGACCGAGCGCTCCGTGGTCGGCAGCGACGATGCAGCGGGTCTCCCCAGCACACGGGCACGGATGTGACCGGCTAGTGAGCCCCAGGGGCTCTGCAGCCGCCGGGGTGATCCAGTTAGAGCCGCAGTTCGTTGTCCTGAGTGAGAGAGGCCACACCTGGTGCCGGCCAGGACGCAAAGACACCAGACTGCTGGGTCACTGCCAATGACAAGGGACAGGGGAGCTACCTTGTGGAGGACACAGTGACCGTCTCTTCAGAAACTAAGCATGCAACTGCCACAGTGGCCCAGATCGCACCTCCGGGGGTCTGCCCCAAGCACTCAAATCTTAAACCCTGCCCTGGCTGGTGTGGCTCAGTGGATTGAGTGCCAGCCTGCAAACCAAAGGGTCACGGGTTCGATTCCCGGTCAGGGCACAGGCCTGGGTTACAGGCTGGGTACCCAATGGGGGTCGCAGGAGAGGCAACCACACACTGATGTTTCTCTTCCTTTCTTTCTCTCTCCCCTCCCCTCTCTAAAGATAAGTAGATAAAATCAGTTTAAAAATCTTCAGCCCACACAACAGCATGCACATGGCCGGGTGCACGTGCACCGTGGGGCGTCACTCACCTGCACGCCGGGGCAGGGGGTGGATGCACGCCCGGACTCGCGTGGAGATCCAGGGGGTTATGCCGAGTGGAGTGGACAACCTCCAAAGGGTGCACACTGGAAGCTCCTTTTATGGCATGTTCTAGAAATGGCAAACCCATAGAAACACACACCAACTCGTGTTCGTGAGGTCAAGGCCAGGGGATGTGGGTGTAGAGGAGGTGAGTGGGTCTGTGGGCACGAAGACCGTGGTGGCGAGTCTGCTCACCGTTTTGACGTCATGGGTAGCAGGACCCTCGTTAGCCTCGATATCTCACTGACGTGCTGCACGCCGCCATCGGAAGCGACCAAGAAGGGGTCACCAGGGTCTCTCTGGGCTCCCTGCAACGGTGCTCGGGTGCACAGCCGTCTCCAAGCACAGCGTGAACGGGCAAAGCCGACTAGCATCGTCAGTTACGTCGACATGGAGCTCCTACATGGGGAAAGGCCAAACTTCTGGAGCAAACAAAAAATCACACATTGTGTGTCCTGGAGGAATGCTTTAGTCAGCGGTCGGTCCCCGACCTCCTCCGGCGCACCTGGGGCGGGGGCGGGGGAGGCAGGCGGCCGAGCTCAGGCGGCCGAGCTCAGGTGGCTGTGCGGCCCCGCTCCTCACAGGCCGGGGCCCGAGGGCTGGGGGCCCCTGCTCTAAACTAAGAACGTAGAAAGCGTGAAAATGAAATACAGAAAATGGTATACAATGCAAACACTGCCCAAAAAGGGCTCTTGTGGACACACAGAGGCAAAGCAAACGTTAAGGTCAGAGCATCTCTGGTGTGAGAGCACCCTCTATAGAGGCGGAGGCCAGGACCTCCCCGGGACAGCACACGACGGGGATGCCCCTGCGCCCGCTGACTCGGGACACGGCACTCACAGAGAGACCCTGGCGGAATCAGGGCCGCAGTCAGGCTGGCGGTCCAGATGCGCCCCTTCCTGCAGCTTCCGGTAGACCGGCCACGCAGGCGACACTCGCTGCCCCCACAGGCCAGGGGTCCACAGACTTCTCCCGGGAGGAGGCGGATGGTCAGCATCGGAGGCCGTCTGGTCTCCGTGCAGCCCCCCGGCGCTGCCTGTGTGGGGATGGAGGCAGCCGTGGAGGGCAGGTCCACGTGGGCTGGTGCCCACGTTCAGGCACAGCTTTGCTGTGGACACCGCCGGCAGGCTGCGTCTGTCCCCAGGGCTCCTGCTGGCCAGACTCCGCTGCAGCAGGTCTGGGCAACGCCACCCACGGACAAGGGCGACCACTGCATGTGGCAGCAGAGCCTGCGGCGACCCAAGGTGCGTTTCCGACAGGGCCACATGTGACGTCTTCAGCACTGAGCTGGAGCCGCGACGCAGCGGGCACCCACCGACGGCACCGCACCCCGCCGGAGCTCCTCCTCCGCCACGGGGGGGGGGGGGGGAGTGGCGCACGCCAGGCCGCGTCGCTCCGGAGCGAGCCAGAAAGTCCCCTCTGCTCCGGAACCCTGCACAGCATTTCTAAGGAGCCGATCCCTCGAAGTAGAAGCCACGGGAGAGATCAGGAACCGTCGGGGCCTGGACGACCATGAAGATCGGGCGGGTCCAAGACAGCGGGAAGCAGCTGAGGGCGGGCGGGGGGCTCAGAGCAGCACACGTTACCTCACAGGCGTCTGGAGGAGAGAAGAGGGTGGGAAAGACCAAACCGCCTGCTCAAGGAGAGAGCAGAGCATCGAACGGCTCCCCAAGGACGCGAGGAGCAGGTGCGGGAGGGGCGGCCGGAACCCCGGGCCAAGGAGGAGGGGGATGAGCAAGGGACAAGCCGCCGCGCCGCCCGCTGGCCCTCGGGCAGAACCCGTCGCGTCGGTCAGGCAGAGAAAGACACCGAAGACGAATCTAGAACTCAGGTTTCCAGTGCCGGCGTGAAAAGGGAGGCCTTGGCGAGGCCTCACCCGGAAACCAAGAGGCCGTTCGTTCTGCGTAGCCTTCCCGGCAGGAGCTTGGGGTGACAGGGAAACGCCGAGTAAGTGGGGAGCACGTGCCCCGACTGCGCCTGGCCCACGGCTGAAGGGCCCCCGCCTTCTCCCCGAAAGCCCGCAAGCAGAGACGGCTTCCCCAGCAACCTCGCCACTAGTCTCGTGAGAGCAGTACCCAAGGTGTCACACAGACTCTCCCAGGCAGTGGGCGGGGAGGGTGGCTGCCAGTGCGCTCCCAGTGGCGGGGGTGGGGCGGGGGGGGAGCAGGAGCTGCAGGTGGCCCTCTCCCAAGACCCGACGTGCACCACGCTGACCGCACCTCCACCAGGGGGACTCCCGTGTGTCCCAGCTGCCCCCCGTCCTGTGCGGTGCGGGGTGCAGGGTCGGTCCTGGTGCGGGGGAAGAAAACGAGGGAAAAGGAGTGAACCCGAAAAAAGTGTGGGCGTGCAGTAGTAAGAACGTGTCGGTGGTCCTTCGTTTGGGGACAAGTGCACCCCAGCAAAGCTACCAGCGGGACACAGGGACGGGCTACGAGGTGAGCAGGGACTCCTCATGCTGTCTTTGCAACTTTTCTCAAAGCCTGAGACTTTCAAAAGGAAAAGGGGGTTCGCAGGCATGCACACAGTTGCACAGAGCGGCCCCGCCTCCCGGGCTCCACCCTGGATTGGCGGCGGGGCTTCCCGGTGCTGTGCTGTCCGGGAGGGCCGGAGCAGGGGGGGCGGCGCCCGAGCACCTCCGCCCAGCGCCCTGTCCTGGGAGGAGTCTGGCAGCACAGGGACACTGGAGGCCGGCAGGTGGGGCCTGGGGGGGGGGGCAGGAGCGCGCCCTGACGTCTGCAGGCGGACAGCGAGGCGCCCGTGACTCTCTCTCGTCCCCCGACCCCCACTCCCACTCCAGGCGTGAACACCCGCGAGCTCCTCGTGTACAAGAACTGCACCGACAACTGCTCGTTCGTGTACGCAGCCCTGCAGCCGAGGCCGGCGCCGAAGGCCAACATGAAGAGGAACAGTTTCTACTGGGCTTTCTGCTGCGGCTCTATGACCTGCAACAACGGGGGGCCGAGCTACGTGGAGCGGGACATCGGGGAGGACCAGACCATCGAGGAGAATATCGAAGGGGCCGAGCGCCTGCGGGGCTCGGGGCTCCTCCTCACCGTGGCCGCCCTCCTGCTCAGCGGGGCCCTGGCAGGCCCCCCCCTCTCCCCAGAGCAGTTCATTCCCCCTTAGTGTCTCGAGGACCAGAGACACGGACCCACAGGCCCCAGCGGCGGCTTCTCCCAAGAGAAAAATAAAGACCCTGTTTGTCTGGGTGGTGCGTGCTCAGAGATTCCTTTCCGTTTCTCGTGTTTGCTGTGTTTTCCTTTTGGCACCAGCTCACGCGTGCGCCCCAACCCCCCTGACGGGTCAGCGTCAGAGGGGGAGGGTCTCAGCCTGAAGCACCTCAGCCCCAGGGCACAGGGCGCACGTTGGCCCGCACGGGGCACGCAGAGCCCCCCCCCCCACACACACCGTGCGAGCAGCTGCCGGGCGGGGGGCCAGGCACAGAGCCTGTGCTTGCTGACTGTCCCAAGTCCCTGCGTGGGTGGGGTGGGCCGTCGGGCTGTCCCCAGCCCTGGGGGCTTCACACAGTGGTGGGGTCAGTCCCCAGAGCTGACGTCTGAGCGGGGGAAGGGCCCCCTCCTCCCCCAGGGGCCTGGCTAGGGCAGGGGGAGCCTGGGCTGAGGCTGGCGACCACCCACTCACTGCCTCAGAGGGGCGGCGACTCGGGACCCTCTTCTGCCGGCTTCCCCCGCGTCGTCTTTAAGTCAGCACCTGACTTTAAACTACCGAGATGAAGTGCGCATGCCCTAAAGTGCGTCCTTTCGAAGGGCGTGGCTGTTCTTTGCCCTGTCCCCCTTGAGTGCGCCCACCACCACCATCCAGTGCCAGGGCACGCTGACCCCCAGACAGCCCCCACCGCTGTCGGAAGTAAGTCAATAAAGTCTTTTTAAAAAATAGAATGAAGTACAGTGGCGGAATACTTCCTACAACCACATGTGTGCAGTTACTATATTTTCTTTCTTTTTTATATATATATATATATATATATATATATATATATATATATATATTTTTAAGATTTTATTTATTTATTTTTAGAGAGTGAAGGGAGGGAGGGAGAGAGAGAGAGAGAGAGAGAAACATCAGTGTGCGGTTGCTGGGGGTCGTGGCCTGCAGCCCAGGCATGTGCCCTGACTGGGAATCGAACCTGGGACACTTTGGTTCGCAGCCCGCACTCAATCCACTGAGCTACACCAGCCAAGGCTACTATATTTTCCTAGAAACAATGTAAATTACTTAATTTCTATGTGGCAAAACCTCAAATGTTCACCAAAAATATGTATACATATTAACATCTAACCAGTTACTGATGTTTAAAAATATTTTATTTTTAGAGAGGGGCGGGGAGGGGAGAGAGAAAGAGAGGAAGAGAAACATCAGTGTGTGATTGCCTCTCGCACGCCGCCCATTGGATACCCAGCCCACAACCCAGGCCTGTGCCCTGACTGGGAATCGAACCTGCGACCCTTTGGTTCACAGGCCAGCACTCAGTCCCCTGAGCCACACCAGCCAGGGCAATGACTTGACATTCTTAGGAATTATAAGCCGAGAGCCCTGGCCGGGGGGCTCAGTTAGCTGGAACATCGTCCCACGCACCAGGAGGTGGCGGGTCCAGTCCCTGGCCAGGCCGCACACGGGAGGCAGCTGGCACCTCCCTCCCTGTCTGTGTCACCCACCCACTCACTAAGAAAGTGGCCACGGAGCACCACGCAGCCGCCCCACCACGGGCGGACGCCACTTGCAGGACTTCTACGGCGTAACCAACTCGCCGCCCAGACTTCCCAACCCTGGTCAGGAACCCAGCCGCTCCCGGGGGCCCGGAGCTGTGAGGGGCCCCCGGGGGTCCCTTCGCTCCGGAGTGTTCAGACCCCTCGGGAGGCGTTTACAGAGGTCGGGGGGCACGTGAATGAATGTCAGTTTCATCATCCAACGGCGGAGAAGAAAGAGCCACCTACACCCCGATGGGTGACACGCCGAATCTCACCAAAACAGAGCCGGCCAAGCCGTGAGCCGATGGGGGCGCGGGACAGAAGGGGCTTGGCAGGGCCTGTGTGCGGGTCTGCCCGCCTCACCGACGCGCCGCCGGTGGGGGAGGGGACAGCCCGGTGTGGGTCTCGTTTTTCTCTGGACTCAGGCCACTCGAGTCCAGGTATTCCTGTCGCCCGATGCCCACGGCGCAGCTGGATGATTCTCCCCCGTCCGAGCGCCGACCGGCCCAGCCCCGCCCCGCTTTCCCGGAGCAGAGGAGGTCGGGCGCGTCCAGGGTGGTGTGGCCGTGGGCACGGCTGGGCGATTCTCGAACCCTGGGCCGGGCACAGTGAACGCGCACAACCCCGTGCTTCCAGCGCGGCACCGGAGCTCGCTGTGCAAGGACTAGCACAAACCGGTTCGGCCTCTGACCCGTGCTGCCCGCGCAGCAGCGGCCTGCCCTCTCCGGGGCTGGGGGCTCCCTCCCGGGCCCCTCTCTGCGCGCCCGGGGGTCGGAGGCCGGGCTGCGCCCTGGCCCACAGCAGCAGCAGCTGTGCTGGAAGACCTCCTGGCGGCACTGGGCTCGGGGGCTCCTGCCCAGGAGGCCCCCCGCAGGTCTGGGGCAGGCGGGCAGCACGGCCACGGCCAAGGGCAGGCGCCCCGAGCCCCATCTGTGCTTGCCAGGGGGACCGGCTCCTGAGGCCCGGCCCTTGCCTTCAAAGCTGGGCCCTGGGCTTCAGGGCTGGCACCTGCGTGTCGAGGCTCCTCCGGGCAGGAGAGACTGGCTTCTGGCCCCGCTGTCTCCAGGCTCGCCGTCCGGGGACCCTGCCAGCCGGCGCGGGTCCACACCTCCCAGGGGCCCACGGACAGGCCCGGAGGCCAGGAAGGGGAGGGGGAGGTCGCGCAGGCAGGCGGGCCGCAGGGGAGGCGGTCGGCGAGGCCTGGGCCGGGGCACTGGCACGCAAGGTCAGGCAGGGCTCGGGCCTGCGTCCCTGCCCAAGGACAGCTGTGACACCACGGAGGCTGAGGCACGTCATCCATCTCCATCTCGGCTGCCGGAAGCGGCCTTGGCGGGGTCTGACTCAGCGCTCCCGACAGAGCAGCCCCCCGGAAGGCCTGAGGGCAGGGAACGGAGCGAGGTCAAAACAGGAAACTGCACTCGGACGGCAGCCCGCCCTGCCCCCAGAGCCTGAGCCCAGGCCCCCCGGCGCCCCATCCCCAAAGCAGGGTCCGGGGATGGCACGTGCCCCAAAGCTGGTGGGCACAGCTCCGGGGGCCCTGCCGCGTGCCCGGCGACCTTGGGAGGTCACAGAACCCCTGGGCCTCAGTCGGCTTGTCTGGAAATGGGAAGGGGGGTGGCGAGAGCCGCCTCCTGGGAGTGCCGCTGGGAGTCGGTGGGACGACACCAGACCCCCGACCCCCGACCCCCGACCCGGTCCACGCTCCCAGGACGGGCCCCACTGTGTTCCCGCCGGGGAGAGTCCTAGGAGAGTGGGGAGCCTGCGACTGCAGCCGGACTCCCTCCTGCCACCGCGCCCCAGCCCTGCGTCCGCACCCCAAGAGCCCTCTGCGGGGCCGGCAAGAGGGGTGAGGGCCCTGGGAGGGCCCAGGCCAGCTGTGTCCTCATCCTTCCGTCCGAGGAGTGACCCTTGTCTCTGAGTGTTCACGGCCAGACCAGACAGACAGACAGACAGACAGGCCGCTTGCCACCTCCCCAGGGAGTGCCCCCCACCCCCGCCTTCGGGTCTCCCCAGCAGCCCTCGGTCTCCGTGCCCCGCGCCCGAGTGAGGCCGGGGGGGCGCCCTCAAAGTGCGAGTGTGTGAGGGCGGGGTGCGCAGTCCGCCCCACCCCCTCCCGCTCGGGGCCTGCGGCAGGGGGACTAAAATAGCCAAGGCCCCCCCCAGCCCTTGATCAGATAAGGGGCTCGTCCGTCCCGCTCCCTTCACCAGGGGGTGGGGGAAGAAGAGGCCTCACGTCCGTCCCAGCCCCCAGCTCGACCCTGCACCTGCCCGGCGCACCCACCCAGCCCACGGCAGACCTGTGGGGTTGCGGGGCGAGGCACCCACCCCTCCCTCTCCTCTTCTTCTGGCTGGACGCCTCCAGCCCTGACCCCCGCAGCCCTGACCCCTTCCCCGGGCGCCCTGGCCCGGTCCAGGGACACTTTCTCCCATGACGTTATCAGCGGCCTTTCATCTCCCGCGAGATAAAAGGACCGGGCCGAGGGGCCGGGGGGAGCCCGCACGGTGTTCCGAGCCAGGGCAGGGGCCTGGATGGCGGGGCCCCGGCTGTGCCTGCGCGGGGCACACGCGCTGGCCGCTGGCGCCGCTCCGGCCCCCAAGGCCGTGCTGCCCTTCGAAGCCATTCCCCGGTGCCCGGGCAGCGAGTGGCTGCGGCTTCTGCGGGTCTGGCGGGCCGGCTGCGAGGACCTGCACCTGCAGATGCAGCGGGCCTTCCAGGAGCTGGGGCCCATCTTCCGGTGAGGGCCCCCCACCCCGCCTCCGCGGCGCGCCCCGAGCACTCCGGCAGGTGGGTGGGGCTGCACAGGGGAGCGTCCGTGGCCCGGAGGGCGGGCACCCCGGCTCGTCGCGGCGGGGGGTGCACCCGCAGGTCGGCAGCAGAGGCCCCGGTTAGAGCTGGGGGGGCCTGCCCGCTCGGAGCCAGGTCGGGGGACGGTGAGGTCGAGGGAGGCAGCCGGCACGCGCCGGCCGAGTGGGGGCGGGGAAGGGCGCGGCCACAGCCGGCTTCGTCCCGCAGGTACGACGTGGGGGGGAAGCGCATGGTGTGCGTGATGCTGCCCGAGGACGTGGACAGGCTGAAGCAGGCGGAGGGCCGCCAGCCCCACCGCATGGTCCTGGAGCCCTGGCTGGCCCACCGGCAGCTGCGCGGGCACAAGCATGGCGTGTTCTTGCTGTGAGAGCGGGTCTGGGTCAGGAGGGGGGGGGATGGGCAGCCCGGGAGCAGAGGCGGCAGGACGGGGACCGCCGGAAGCCGGCCTGCCCTGGGCCCCCGTGGGGGAGTGGAGAGAGCGTGACCACGGGACGGTGCCAGGGGGCAGGGCACGCCCGCCCTGGGTGTGAGGGGGAGCACCCCGTCTGAGCAGGGGAGGCGCTGGCCCGGGCCCCTGCGGGCACAAGCCGGAGCCCCTCAGGGCCCGGGGGCCTGCGTGAGGTGAGCTGTGCTCGCGGGGCCGGGTCCCGGGGCTCCCGAGGGGGTGGCCGCCGGCGCCTGCGCTCCCCCGTGTGTGGCGTGTCCGTGGGGACAGTGCGCTGGGGTGGCCGCACCCGTGCCTGCCTGCGTGTGCACGTGCCAGCACACGCGTGCGCACATTGTTATGTGCGTGTGGACGGGTGTGTTTGCCCATGTCCGTGTACTGGCATGTGTGCTCACGCGTGTGCATGTGTGTGCAGGGGCAGCACGTGCTCACCTGGGTGTGGGCTGCTGCTCACTGCGTGTGCGTGTGCGTGGCATGTTTCCCCGCATGCATGTGGCCGCCTGGTTTGGAGCGTTTTGTGTGTCTGCGCTCGTGTGTTCTGTGTTACTGTACACACGGGCGCACATTTGCGTGTGTCCCGGGCACCCTTCCGTGTGCGTGTGCTGTCCCACGCCCTGCGGGCGGCGTTCCCCACCGCTGCGGGCGGCCGGCTGAGGAACGGTGTGCATGCTTGACTGTGGTCGAGAAGGCAGGTCCGCCCTCACCCACTCCGGGGCGTGGCACCAGTGGGGCGGGCACAGCTTCACGGGGGGGCCGGCCGCCTCTCCAGAAGAGGCCCCACACCCACCGAGGGCCGGGCTCGGGGCCGGCAGTCGGCTCGAGCAAGCTCCGTGAGGCGCGCATGCGCACGCTTGGGCGGAGGCGCGGCCTCACCGCCGCGGCAGAGCTGAGCCCGCGCGAAGGCCTCCCTGGAAGGGGCGTACAGCGGGGACGGGGGCACAGGCAGCTGGCGCCCCGGGACCGGCAGACACCTCCCTTGGAGGATGAAGAAGGAGGGGTGTGGGGCTGGGGGCCCGCTGCTGACTCGGGGTGCCCTGAAGTTTGCTCTCTGCTCCACAGAAACGGTCCCGCATGGCGCTCGGACCGACAGCGGCTTAACCCAGATGTGATGTCACCGCAAGCTGTCCAGAAATACACCCCCATGGTGGACAGGGTGGCGAGGGACTTCTCCGAGGCCCTGAGGGCGAGGGTGCTGCAGAACGCCCGGGGCACGCTGACCGTGGACATCCAGCCCAGCATCTTCTACTACACCCTGGAAGGTGCGGGCTCCCGAGCGGCCTCACTGGGCCCGGGGCCGGGGACAGGGGGGCCGCCGGGCGGCCCCGGGCGGCCACATGCTCGTCAGCCCTGTGTTCCCCACAGCCAGCAACCTGGTCCTGTTTGGAGAGCGGCTGGGCCTCCTCAGCCAGAGCCCGAGCCCAGCCAGCCTGGACTTCATCCGCGCCCTGCAGGCCATGCTCAAGTCCACCATGCAGCTCATGTTCATGCCCCGGAGCCTGTCCCGCTGGACAAGTGCCCCCGTGTGGAGGCAGCACTTCGAGGCCTGGGACTACATCTTCCAGTATGGTGAGGGCCCAGGGGGCCGAGGCTTCCTCCCCATCCCCTCGGGAGCAGGCGCCGGGGCGGGGCTGGGCAGGAGGGCGGGGCCAAGGGCTGCCGCGCCGCCAGCAGGGGCGGCGGCCCCCGGCCCCGGGCCCAGGGCTCCGTCTCTGTGCCCGCAGCCAACGACTGCATCCAGAAGATCTACCAGGAGCTGGCCCTCGGCCGCCCCCAGCACTACACCGGCGTGGTGGCAGAGCTGCTCCTGCACGCGGACATGACCCTCGACGCCATCAAGGCCAGCTCCATCGACCTCACTGCCGGGAGCGTGGACACGGTCAGGCCGGCAGCCAGCCCTGCCCGTAGAACAGGGAGCCCGCGTGTCCCCTCCCCATCTGTGCCACCCACCAAGATGTCCAGGCTGGGGCCTCAGTCCCCGGACCGACAGCAGGCTCTGGGGGTGGGGGGGGCACCTGGGGGCAGCCTCTCGGGGGAGGCGTGCGGTCCGGGCGGGAACCGGGCCCCGGCAGCCCGCAGAGGGACGAGGCCTGGGGACGGGTGGCGCAGCCCCGTGCAGACCGACAGGGTCCCGGCAGAACGGGGGCTGGCCGACACCTGGCTGCACAGGGCGCCCTGCCTGGCGACCGATCCCATTTGGCTTTCCTTGAAGACCCTGTGGAGGTGACAGGCTGGTGACAGGAAGGGCAGCACAGGGCTCCAGCACGTGGAGGGCGGAGCGGATGGCAGGCCCCGGGTGCGGACTGCAGCCAGAGCTGCCCGCCTCTGGGCCCGGCCTCCGCACGCCGGCGCCTCAGGGCCGCTCTGGGCGTGGCACCTGGGACGGCAAGGCACCGATTGGTGCCGAGACACGGCCGTGAGGCGAGAGAGCCCAGGGGAGGGCCCGTGCCTCAAGGGACAGCTCGAGGCAGGCGTCCCGGGGGCGGGGACTTCCAGCTGAGTGAGGAAGAGCCCGGCGGAAGGCAGACAGGCAAGAAGAGGAGGCACGGCGCGCGGTGGGCCGGGGTGCAGGAGCAGGCAGCGAGGGAAAGCGGGGGGGGGGGGGCGTCGGGGTCTGACTCCTGCTCCCCAGGGTGCCTCACGGGCCCCGGGGCCCCTCTGCTGAAGCAAAGGCTGCAGCAGACAGGTCATTGCCCCCCCATCGGGAGGCGCCGGGGGCACGTTGCCATGGGGATGGGATTTAGGAGATGCTCAGTTCCCCAGACCCCAGGCTGGGCTTGCCTCTCCGTGCACAGAAACGAGCCGGGGGCGGGGGGGGAACTGGCTGGGCTCTGGCTAGCTGCAGACGCCCGGGGAACAGGGTCGAGTGGGAGCAGGTGGACCGGCTCCAGGCCCCACCCCAAGCAGAGGCCAGCGTGAGTGAGTCTGTCCTGGAGCCCAGAGGAAGGTGAGCCCCAGGCCTGAAGGTCTCGGCTCCCTGGGCTCTGCCCTGCTCGGAGCACGCCCGTCACCATGGCGGGAGGCGGCCCCGGGGGCTGCGGTGCAGGGCCGGGCCCAGGCCTGAGGCCGCACCCACGGCTCCCGCAGACGGCCTACCCCTTGCTGATGACCCTCTTCGAGCTGGCGCGGAACCCGGAGGTGCAGGAGGCCCTGCGTCAGGAGAGCCTGCTGGCGGAGAGCAAGATCTCGGAAAACCCCCAGAGGGCGCCTGCGGAGCTGCCCCTGCTGCGGGCCGCCCTCAAGGAGACCCTGCGGTAGGTGTGGCTCCCTGGGCCGCCCCAGCCACTTTGGGCCACACACAGCCTGCAGGGCGGCAGATCCTGGGGCTACAGGCAGCTTTGCCCAAAGAGGCATCCCCTGCACCTCCTCTCCCTCGCCCTAAAGGGGCAGGGGCGCTTTGTCCCCTGGGGTCCTACCTCAGCATCCCTGCGCCAGCACCCACCTCGCCCTCCTCAGCCAGGAGGCTGAGCTCGGGAGGTGCGCGGACGCAGCTTCCCAGTGACGAAGGGGCGTGTGAGGGGGGAGGTGCCCTCTCTGCTGTGCCCTGCAGGAGGCAAGCGAGGGGCCCTGTCGCGGCTGAGGACGCTGTTGGCCGCCCCTGTGCACAGGCTGTACCCCGTGGGTATCACTGTGGAGCGGCAAGTGAGCTCGGACCTGGTCCTGCAGAACTACCACATCCCCGCCGGGGTGAGCGAGGCCCCACAGCCCTTGCCGCGGGCACCGCGCCGGGCCGGCCCGGCCCTCGCCCGGCTCACCCTGCCCCGCGCCCCTCTCCGCGCCCGCAGACACTGGTCCTCGTGCAGCTCTACAGCCTGGGTCGGAACCCCTCCGTGTTCCCGAGGCCCGAGCTCTATGACCCCCAGCGCTGGCTCAAAAAGGGGTCCAGCACGAGGCTCCCCCACTTGGCCTTTGGCTTTGGCGCGCGACAGTGCCTGGGAAGGCGAGTGGCCGAGACCGAATCGCTGCTTCTGCTGCACCACGTGAGCGGCTTGAGCCCTGCGGCGGGCGGGGGCGGAGGCCTGGGGGCGGGGCCGCGGGGGGCGGGGCGCCTGGGGGCGGGGCGCCCGGGCCGCCCGGAAAGCCGGGGCTGACCTGTACGCCGGGTGGAACCGCGCTTCTGTCCTAGGTGCTGAAACACTTCCAGGTGGACACGCTAACGCAAGAGGACGTGAAGATGGTCTACCGGTTCGTGCTGATGCCTTCCACCGTCCCGCTCCTTACCTTCCGGGCCATCAAGTAGTCACGCCGCCGCCCCGCCACCCCGGCCACGCCGCCAGCCCCCCTCCGCCTGACCCCAGGCCATCCCCCCTTCTCCCCTGGGCCCTGCTTCCGGAGCCGCACCACGGTCCAGCCGGCACCTCGCACAGATGGAGCAGCCCGGGCCTCTGAGGTCGGGCCTGGCCAGGTGGCGCAGTGAGGCCGGGGCAGAGCTGGGGATAGTCTTGGCTGAAGGTCCTGGTTCTGATCCAGTCCCTCCGGCACCTTCTCCTACACGGAACGCTGTCGGAGGGCCTTGACACCCACCCTGGCACCCCAGCACTGGCTCCGGGCTCCTCGTGCGCCCACCCTGGGGGCGGGGGGCCTCTGACCTTGCCCCTCGCTCCCTGTCCCGTCTCATGCGCCCTCTGCACTCAACTCTCCCCCCACGCAAGAGCCGACTGTGTGGGTCCCCTGTCCTGCTCTTCGGCTTTTCAAACGCCGTGCTTCTTGCCTGCGATGCTCTTGCCCAGAGCAGACCGTCACGCTGGCTGTGATTTGCCCACCCACCTGCTCTGCCCGGCCCATGCGGCACCCCCTGCACTGCCAGTCCTCGGCCACTGCGGCCGAGTTGCCCGGCCAAGGGCCTGGAGAGGCAGGCCGTCCGTGCTGTTTCCTGGAAGAAGGGCCCCCGAGAAGCTGACTGAGACACCTGATGCCCACCTGAAAGCAGGGAGGACGGTGAACCCCACGGGCTAGCATCGGGGGACGGCAGAGAAGCCTCCGGAAGAAGGGGGTGGGGCCCTCCCGGCCAAGTGCATCTGCGTGTCCCCTGCAATAAAACCCTCTGTCTGAAGTGCCAGCTGCCGCTTCCCACTGACCCTCGGGACAGGCGCCACCCTGGCCTCGTGGGCGGGAGAGGCTCTGGACGGCTGGGAGCCGGCTGGGGTCTCCTGGCTGGCAGGAGGGAGCCACCTGCCCCAGACCGCTTCAGGCCGGGCGACACCCTCCACACAAAAAGGGTCCTGGGAGCAAGGCTGGGGGTGGCGTCGCCGCATTCCCCTCCCCACCCACCCCCCTGTCATCTGGCGAGAACAAGGCACTGAGGCCACCCCGAGGCAGTCAGAGAGGGGGCCCACACTTCTGGCTGCACGGCCGGCTGGCTCTGAGCCATCCCACTGGCACCCTGCTCAGTCCCCGGGTGAGCGAGGGTCCGCACACGCCCGCCCACTCCATTCTGGCCCCCGTGAGCAGGGCTGCAGCCCTGCAGCACGGCCGCCCCGCCCTGCCCCGGCCAGGCACTGTGGAAGGGGCTTGGGTAGCCCCGGGGAGGAGGCAGGAGGGTCCGGGCTCAGGTCCCGGGCAGGCCCAGGCTGGGGCCCTGGCTCCCCACGTGGGCCAGCCCTCACAGCCCCCGAGCCTCAGCTGGTCACAGGGCACTCTGAGTGACACTGAGCCCCATGTCCCCGGCGAGGGTGCCGCAGGATGGCATCCGGAGAGCCCCCAGGCCTCTGCCCCCGCAGGCACTGCGCACTGAGTGGGAGTTTCTCCTCCCGCCCCTCCAAAGCCCCTGCCCCCCTGCCCGGGGCCGGCTGTGTGGCCAGCCAGCGAGCTGGGACGGCAGCAACAGAGGCAGAGTCAAGCACCGTGGCCCGGCAGGGCGCGCGGGTCGGTCTGCAGAGCTCTCGGCGCACCTGCTCCCTTGACGTTCCTGGCGACCCTGAGCCAGGACCGGCGTGTGCCCACTCTTGCTCACCTGGGGACCGCACAGGGTGCCCTCGGGGTGGCCTCCGCGCCGTTCTCGCCAGATGCCATGGGGGTGGGGAGGGAGAGTGCAGCGACCCCACCCCCAGCCTTGCTCCCGGGGCGCTGGCGACTGCGAACACTTTACGGATGAGGAAGCCGAGGCTTTGAGAGCTCAGCTACCTGCCCAGGGCCTTGCCTCTGCGGCCCTCCCCACTTCTCCCCCTCGAAGGGCCTGCCTTGGGGCGTGAGCGTGCACGTTTCAGAAGTGACATCTGATCTGAAGCATCTCTGCATGCTTTTAAAGAGCATCTTTTGGCCCTGGCTGGTGTGGCTCAGTGGATTGAGTGCCATCCTTCAAACCAAAGGGTCACCGGTTTGATTCCCGGTCAGGGCACAGGCCTGGGCCATGGGCCAGGTTTCCCAGTAGGGGGCACTCGAGAGAGGCGACCACACACTGATGTTTCTCTTCCTCTTTTTCTCCTTTCCCTTCCCCTCTCTCTAAAAATAAATAAATACAGTCTTTAAAAAAAAAAAACAAAGATCGTCTTTCAGTTCTCTATGTTCCTTCCCTTTCACAGTTAAAGTCTGCAAAGGCATCCTTTTTTAAAAGTTCTTTCTTTTTTATTTTTTAAATGTTTTATTGATTATACTATCGCAGTTTTTCCATTCCCCCCCTTATTACCCCCTGTCCTGCACACCCCCTCCCACCCACATTCCTCCCCCCCTTAGTTCATGTCCACGGGTCGTACATGTAAATTCTTTGGCTTCTACATTTCCCGTACTGTTCTTACCCTCCCCCTGTCTGTTTTGTACCTGCCATTTGTGCTACTTATTCTCTGTACCTTTTCCCCTCCCTCCCCTTCCCCCCTCCCTTGTTGGTAACCCTCCATGTGATCTCCAGTTCTGTGACTCAGCTCCTGTTCTAGTTGTTTGCTCAGTTTGTTTTTGTTTTTGGTATTTTTTTTTAGGTCTGGTTGTTGATAGCTGTGAGTTTATTGTCATTTTACTGTTCATATATTTGATCATCTTCTTTTTCTTAGATAAGTCCCTTTAACATTTCATATAATAAGGGCTTGGTGATGATGAACTCCTTTAACTTATCTGGGAAGCACTTTATCTGCCCTTCCATTCTAAATGAGAGCTTTGCTGCATAGAGCAATCTTGGATGTAGGTCCTTGCCTTTCATGACTTGGAATACTTCTTTCCAGCCCCTTCTTGCTTGTAAGGTTTGTTTTGAGAAATCAGCTGACAGTCTTATGGGAACTCCTTTGTAGGTGACTGTCCCCTTCTCTCTTGCTGCTTTTAAGATTCTCTCCACATCTTTAATCTGGGGCAATTTACTTTTGACATGTCTTGGTGTGTTCTTCCTTGGGTGGAACTTCTTCGGGACTCTCTGAGCTTCCTGGACTTCCTGGCAGTCTAGTTCCTTTGCCAGATTGGGGAAGTTCCCCTTCATTATTTTTTTCAAATGTGCTTTCAATTTCTTACTCTTCCTCTTCTCCTTCTGGCACCCCTAAGATTTGGATGTTGGAACATTTAAAGTTGTCCTGGAGGTTCCTAAGCCTCTCCTCATATCATATTTTTTAATCCTTATTTCTTCATTCTGTTCTGGTTGAATGTTTGTTTCTTCCTTCTGGTCCAAACCGTTTATTTGAGTCCCGGTTTCCTTCCCATCACTGTTGGCTCCCTGTGCATTTTCCTTTATTTCACTTTGCATAGCCTTCACTTTTTCTTCTATTTTGTGACCATACTCAACCAATTCTGTGAGCATCCTGATTGCCCATGTTTTGAACTGTGCATCTAATAGGTATGCAACAGGGTGCAGCCAAGAGGGGAGCCTCAAATAGGGATCTGTAATAAGATCCAGAAGAGCCTGGAGATAATTGGCTCCACACCACAGGGCCACACCTGCCCAGAATCTGGCAGCTGTAGCCAATTGTGAGAGGAGCCGGAAATGGGGCTTCAGAGGAAGACTGGCGCTGGGATTTAAACCGAGACGCAGCAGCCATTTGAGGGGGAGAACCATGCGCAGCCCTGCAAGAGAGAACCACACAGCTCTAGCAGAGTGAAGACTCCCGCGGCCCTGAGGGAGAGAACCACACGGCTTTGACAGAGTGGGGACTCCCGGGGTCCGGGGAGAGAGGACCACGTGCCTTTGCCAGAGTGGGGGCCCCTGCAGCTTTAGGAGATAAAGGGGGAAGGAAGGAAGGACTGTGTGTGTTTGTGGGTGCTTTAAGGGACTTTAGGATTTTTGGTGAAGACATTAGGTCCCTACTTTAAGTCTGTATAGCATTAAATAAACGTTTCCTTTCCTTTTCACAAATCTCTGGCATTGAAAGACGTCTTTCCTCTGGCGGCGGACATAACGGACCTGGGGGCTTCTTTCAGTAACAGTGTATCGTCCCAGGCCCCCCTTGTTTGTTCTGTAACAGGTAGACTACCTCTTTATCGTGTAGTTATATTTTTTCTGGAGCTTTGATCTGTTCTTCCATTTGGGCCTTTTTCTTTCTTTTTTCTTTTTTTTTTTTTTGGTCAGGGCACACCTATTTTGTAAGGGGCGGAGCCTTAGTCCCCAGGGCGGGGCAACCCCCAGGGCTGTGTTGTGGCGCTCTCGATGGGGGAGGGGTCCCAGAGGGAGCAGGGCCACTTGCTCCACTCTCCGCAGGTTTTCACTCCCTCCCCCCACTTCCCCCAAGCAAACTGGGCCCTTCTGGTGCTGATTCCCGGGGGCGTGGGTTTGTGCACGTTCTAGGACCCCATGGGTCTCTCCAGCGGACTCGCCCGTGAGGCTGGGAGTTTCTCCTGCCGCGCCAACCCCCACAGGTGCTTTCAGTTGTCCCTCCCGGTTCACCCGCAGCAGCTGTGGGAGTGCCGGGTCCTCCAGCCCCTAATCTGATAAAAGCTCCGGCATCCTGTCCTCTGTGCCCTGGGCGGTGGAGTCTCCCCCTGGAGCACTGCGGCTCCGACACCCTCCTGACCCGCCTGGGGTCCTCCTGGGGCACCAAGGTGGGGTGCTTGTGGTCTCCTGGAGTCGGGGTGGGTGGCGCCCTCAGCTCCTGGAGCAGCAGTTGTAGTCCCGGGTGTTGTCTGCCGAGCCCATTACCTGCTGCTGCCTGAACCACAGTGTTCCCGCTCGGAGCGCCCCGGCGCCGGGGGGTCGTGGCTCGGCCTGCGGGACGCAGGCTCCACTGTCCCTGCGAAGACGGAAAGGTCCAAGTTGGCGTTCATCACCGGGGAGGGAAAGGGCCTGGTGTCCGGCTTCTAGTCCAGAGCTGGGGGGTCCCCGCTCCGCCTCCTCCCGCCTGCCCAGTCGACCACCCCTGAGTGTCACGGACCTGCCTCACACTCGCTCCCCGGATTCCCACTCACAGAACGCACTGCAACGTGTCCACGCGGCCTTTTCTCGGGCCTCTGAGGGCTAGCCCCCAGGCCAGGCCAGGCCCGGAGAGGCGCTTGAACCCTTCCTCTGGGTTTGGACCGCTTTCGCGGAAGGGTCTCCTCCGTTCTGCCAGCAGAACCCTGGCTGGCGCCCGGTCTCCCTTCCCTCAGCTCCCGGGGCGGGGGTGGGGGGGGTGCCTGAGGCCGCCCTGAGTGTCCGTCGGGTGTGGGGCCGAGGATGAGCAGACGCCCGGCAGGGCACGGCCCACCGGTCCCAGCGCGGCGGCCCGTCTGGCCACCAGCTCGCGGAGGAGCAGGTCCTCTGGGTCTCTCCTTCACTCACGCGACACACACTCCCGCAGCCCCCCCACGGGCCAGCCCCCGCAGCGCGCGCCGCCAGGAGCAAAGCGCTCAGCCCCGCCTGGCCGAGCTCACGGGGCGAGCCGGTGGCCCGTCCTACCGGAACAAGCTGCTGCGGGGCGGGGCGGACCCCGTCCGAGCAGTGGGGGCGGGGCTGGCGAGCGCGGGGAGGGCCGCCTCACGCAGCAGCCAGGCCTCCCGCCAGTGACCCTCACACTCGGCCGTGCTGCCTGGGCTGAGGACAGGGAAGCGGGGGCCGAGACGGAGCAGCAAGTCCGGGAGCGGACTCACGCTCGGGGGCGCGTGGGTTTGCGCAGGCTCCGGGGGGGGGGGGGGGCGGGCGCTCCATTAGGGGCTGCCGGTCCGTCAGGGTCCAGAAGCGGGGGAGGGGGAGCAGCTGGATGGCCGGGGTCACAGCCACGGGCTCCCAGGTGGGAAGCAGCAGCAGGAAGACGCTCTTAGGGAAAAATGCAGGAGAGGGCCTCCTGGCGGCAGTGTCGGAAACCCTTCTGATCCAGGCCGAAAGAACCGGGCAGGAAGCAGAAGCTGGCCAGGCCAAGCAGGGCACAGCTCAGGGCCTCTGTGCACCTGAGGTCCAGGGAAGGACCGCCCCCCCGCCCCCTGCCGGTGTGGGAGGGAGTCCAAGTCTGATGGGTGCTGGCAGGGGCCCCCTTGGTCTCCTAGGGCTGCCGCCACAAAGTGCCACAAACCCGGCGGCTTAAAACAGCGCGGGTGTATCAGAACACCAGGACTCGGTCACAGTCCTCGAGGCCAGCGGTGCAGAGCCGCGTCTGCGCGTCCTTCTGCCTGTCTACGAGAGCTCGCACGGCCTGTGCGCACCGCGTCTTCCCCCTCCAGGGGCTGCTGTGGCGGCGGCGAGGAGAGTCCCGACGGTGGGGACCTGCCCCCCGCCCCTTCCCACCGGCCCGCTGCCGCGTTACTGCGAGAGCTGACTCAGACGACGCAGCCTGTGCGTGAACAGCCTGTTTGCAGCAGAATCCTAGGAACGCGTTTCAGAACACTCGGAGGCCGGCCCACAGGCATCCCAGCTCAGGGGGATCCGGGGCCTTCAGCCCCGGGGCGGGAAGCTGGGAATCCAGACTGACCAACCCAGGGTGACGCCCAGCAGACCGCCTGCCCCGGGCCTCCCCGCAGCGCACAGCGCTCACCTGCACGTGGGGAACCTTTTGACCCCTCCCTCCACCTCTTCCTTCTGCTGCCGGCGTCCTTCTAAAACTGCTGCCCCCACGAGAGGTGGGGATGGGCTCTGAGACGGAGCCCCCCGTCTTCCAGGTGGCCAGCAGCTGCAACTAAACGGAGGCAGGAGACCGCACAGGAAGAACCCTGAGACTGCAACACTGTCACCGCCCAGCCGCCGGCGCCCTGGTTGCCAGGAAACGCCCTTTACCAACTAGGTGGAATAAACAGTAAACCGAGGCAGGGGGGAGGGAGGAGACAGTCTCCCATGCTAACTCAGCAGTCCTGAGCCTGGTCTGATGATATCGCCAGGCGTTCCCACATCACAAGAAACACGATGTTAGCACGGAAGAGCCCATAGATCGAGTCTGGTTAATTGCCCACCTCTGGTCACTGTCTGTCTGACAAGGAGTCCCTGATGCTTACAGAAAGAGCCCATAAATAACTTTGGAAACTGCCCCAAGATTTAATTAACTGCCCCCTGTCACGTCTGTGTTTTACAACAGGATGGCCAAATGGGGTCTGGAGCAAGATAAGAATTCGGGCGGACAGACCCCATGCATCCCTAAATTTGGGTGGTCACGTTCCCCCAGGAAAGATGGCGCCACATTTACCCGTTCATCAATATGTGACTTTTCCCCCTCCTATCCCACCCACTGTGTAAGTCCTCAGAGCAAAGGACCCGCTCTCTCTCGGTCTCAGGGGCTCAGGGGGCTCTCTCTCGGGGACTCAGGGGGCACTTGGCTCTCAGGCCACAGGGCCTCTGGCCTCAGGCTGCCCAGGGGCGTGCCACCCTGGTCTCCAGCCTCCCTCACCTGCTTTACCCTGAAACTTTCCCTTTCACCCCCGATCTACCCAGTCCTGTTCTCTTCCATGGCAGCGACCCACTATTAACTGATGACATACTACTAGAATTGCTGACATGTAATTCTTTACATGCATCAGCAAGAAGAACCAGGTCTTTCCGGTCAACAAAACCACTTTCCTTCACATCAGCACTTTCCTCTTGACAACCGGCTCTCGCGGTGGCGGGCCTCTGGATCTGCTTTCGGTTCCACTTTGTGGCGACTCCAGACGGGACCGTGTGCACTCCCAGGAAGGCCCCGCGGGCCTTGGGGTGGGTGACCAGCAGACTGTGACAGGCTGAGCCTGTGCATGGGAGACACGTGGTTCCTCTTGTCAGCACACGTAAAGAAGGACACATCAGCACGTCTATTAACGAGCAATCGGGGATAATTCCTGATCTGTTCCCAGGGAGCAGAACCGGCCTCACTGAGGTGGGGGTAGTGACGGGCACACATTCAGGGCAAAGCAGGGTGGCACAAGGAAGGGCCGCTGAAGGCCAGCGTGGTCAGCCCCCGGGGGGCCAGAGGCCAGAGACCCAAGGGCCCCAAAGCTGCGAGCCCTTTCTCCTGAGGATGTATGGAGTGGGCGGGGTGGGAGTTAAAAGGGTTCATGTTGGGTGGCAGGTAGACAGGGTGCCCGCTTC